TAATCTTGCGCAAACTCATCTTTTAACGTTAAAAACTTTAATTTATTTATCCAGTATTTTTATAAAATAATTATTCTGAATTAAAAGGTAGATAATTCACGTGTTACTCACCCGTTCGCCATGTTTTAAAAACATTCGACTTGCATGTGTTAAGCATACCGATAGCATTTATTCTGAGCCAGGATCAAACTCTATTTATTTTTTGTATTAAATATTTAATATTAATTTTTAAAATAACAAACATTTAAAAATTACATATTTTAACATTCTTATATTAATTTTTGTTTTATATTGTCTTAAAGGATAGACTTTTATACTTAATATAAACATTTAAATTAAAAATAATCTTTTATTATTAATCCGAACTAGAAGTACTTTCAAAATTAGACGTTGTGGTTAGCGCTGTACTGTTACTGTCTAACACTGTTTCTCCAAGAATATGTGATTCTATTATAGAGGATCTTACAGATGAATTGGTTGCGCATTTATTTGCAAACGAATAAAAATGGGTCCAACCTGTTTGTGCGTTTTTTAAATTATTCATAGCAATAGGATCAGTTTCAAATAATCTTTAGGCATTAATAAAATCCAAATTGTTAAAGGTTAACTGTTGCTCCAATTCATTTTTAAATCCGCATAGAACACGCCAATTAAACCACAGCATTCGAGCTTTGTTAGAGTTTTGATTTAAATCTATTGTAAGTGTTTCAATTAGTAATCTTTGCATCAGACTTTTAATTAAATAGGTTTGATTCCTTAATTGAGAACGTTAATTCACTACATGCTCTGCTCTTATATTTTCTACATTAATATGAATTGGGTCTAGATCATGAAAAACGGTTTCAAGACCCACTAAATTATTATAATCTAAATTGTCGTAGAAATTAAGTATTTCCCTATAGATATTATTAACATCCGTAAGACATGACAATACGAGACTCTCGGTTATTATACAAGCAAGAATAATGGTTAAACCCTGAAATTCATCTTTTAAAGCTTGAGGATTATTTCTATAATTAGATAATTTTTGATTTATAAAATCCGCAAAACCTTCATTGGTTAGGGAAACAGGGAAATGTCGCATGATATCATGTTCATGCATTTCATCGAGCATCCCCGGTTCGGCGCTACTTTCAAAATCTAGTGGTGTGCAGAAGCAACTTGCACTATGATCTGAAATATAAAAAATAATATAAAAAATTGTTTATTTTTTTTTAAGTTGTAATTATAAATAATTATAATAGATTCCGTAAATTTTTTAAAAAAATTTATTAGATAAGTAATTATGAAGAAAGTTAACATTTTTATTTTTATAAAGTAGTATTTGATAGATAAATGGAGAAAGTAGGATTCGAACCTACGTAGAAATTACTTCAACAGATTTACAGTCTACCGCTTTTAACCACTCAGCCATTTCTCCTTATTTTTTAATCTATATGTGATTAGTGGGACTTGAACCCACAATATTTACTTGGAAGATAAAGGATTTACCAATTAATCTATAATCACAAAATAAATGTCAATTCTATTATTATTCCCAATTAATTAAAATAATGGAAATACCGAATACTGCCTTCGGGTCCATTTATATTTAAGCAAAAAAAGGGATTCGAACCCTCAACATTAACCTTGGCAAGGTTATACTCTACCATTGAGCTATTTTTGCATATAAATTATTTTTTTATTATAAAAAGTGAATTTAGTAATAAAAATAATTCATTATTATTTTTTGCATTTGTATGAATAGATATATCAATTGGTGGTATATTTTTAAATTTTAAGAATTCTGTTTTTAATTCAAAAAAATGTAAAACATTTTGAATTTGAAAATTTAATATATTTTTATTTTTTAAATTAAAATTTATCTTAGTTATATTAGGTAAAATAAAAATTAAAACATTTTCTAAAAAAATAAAAATATTTCTTTTTCTTAAAGTTACTTTACAACCTATAATTGAATTTTGTTTTATTTTAAAAAAAATATTATTTTTTTTTGATTTAGTTATCATAGGTTTTTGATTAATTATTAACTTTAAAAGTAAAATAATATTAATTAATTTTTTTTTTTCAATATTTGCATCTTTAAAACCAATATTTAAACAAATTTTAGTAATTTTTGGAATTTCAAATATATTTTGTAAATTTAATTTTGTTAAAAGATCGTATATAGTAATATTTTGATAATGATTTTGTAAATTTTTTTCCATAGATTTTTATAAAATATTTGAAGCTAATGCTAATATTTTAAAATTTTTTTGTTTTCTAAATTCCGAGGTAATCGGACCAAAAATACGTGTTCCTAAAGGCTTATTTTGATTATTTAAAATAATTAGACAATTTTTATCAAATTTTACCATATTACCTATTGTACTTTTTTTTTGATATGTTGTATGAATAATTAAAGCTTTAAATAAGTCACCCTTAACTATTTTAATTTTTTTTTTTTGATTTAAACGTAATTTTTTAGCAGAAATTAAAATAGTATCTCCAATTTTTCCAACCTTTTTTTTATAAATTTTAATACATTGTCCTATTTTAATACCACTATTATCGTTTACTTTTAATTTCGTTTGAATTTGAATCATAAATGATTAGAATGTAATGATGAGAGCAGGACTTGAACCTACATCTTCAGATTATGAGCCTGATAAGTTAACCTATTACTCTATCTCATCTTATTATTGATTTTCGGAAGAAAAGGATTTGAACCTTTGATCTTCTGTTCCCAAAACAGATGCATTAGCCAGACTATGCTACCTTCCGTTTAATTTTTTAATGATGGTAGGATTTGAACCTACAACATTAGGATTATGATTCCCACGCTCTACCATTAAACTACATCATTCTTACTATTTTATTAATTTTTAAATAAAATAAGTCGAAGTGGGATTTGAACCCACGAGTTAATAAATTAACTGATAGTTTAGCAAACTACTGCCTTAAACCTGACTTGGCTATTCGACCAAAAAAATAAAACTTCTTTGATAGGATTTGAACCTACAACCTAATGGTTAACAGCCATTTGCTCTACCGTTGAGCTACAAAGAAATAATTATATTTTTATTTTTAAAACTTTTAGTATTTTTAAGCTAAATATTTTACAATACTTACACTTTAAACCTATCAATGTAATCGTCTTTTACAGTTTTTATATGAAAAATTTTTAAGAATGGTTTCTTACTTAGATGCNAAAACTGACTTTGCTATTCGACCTAAAATATAAAACTTCTTTGATAGGATTTGAACCTACAACCGAATGGTTAACAGCCATTTGCTCTACCATTGAGCTACAAAGAAATAATTATATTTTAATTTTTAAAACGTTTAGTATTTTTAAGCTTAATATTTTACAATACTTATACTTAAAACCTATCAATGTAATCGTCTTTTACAGTTTTTATATGAAAAAATTTTTAAGAATGGTTTCTTACTTAGATGCTTTCAGTAATTATCCAAAATAAATTTAGCTACTCGGCGATGCTTTTCAACAACCGATA